TTCCTATGCTTTGTTCCTTCAGCTCTGGCTCTTAGGCAGACCATAAAGATCTCCCCTTTTAAGCCAGATTTGATTCATTTCCATATGTCAAGATCACCTCTAATGCACACCCCATTTCTCAGTTCATCTTTGCTTTGCTTTGGGAAGGAAATGCCCCAAAAACGAATAAATTCATGTTTTACTTTAATTAACAAGCAACTACATTTGTTTTAAGAATGAATGAGACCTTGAACTGAACTGGGCCCACCTGGTCCACCATTAATTTGTTCTGAAACAAATGCAAGGGATCGTGAATGGATGACCTTTTCCGTATCTTATTAGTATTCGTTCTTCACTCATTCATGGGTTGGGGAGAAGGTTCCCTTTTATTTCTATAGCTTGTCCTGGATGGTTCCTTGTTTTGAGATATTTGGATCATCGTCAACAACATCATCATCAATGGCCACTGACACTTTTGTGGTCATTCTTCTGTCCCCACCCTGAAGTACTCCAGAACCGAGGTGCTAAACTTCTTTGCTCGATCTCAGAGAAGCGCTGGGGACCCGGATTCTACTGGTGCGTGTGTGAGGCTGAAGGCAAAGGGGGCACAGCCCCAAATACTCAAAATACTAAGAATGCCAGCATATTTTAGCATAAAGCTCTTACCAGCAATTAAGCCTTTGAATTAAGAAACATGTTTCAGCCTTTTAGAATGGAGAAGAAAAGTGCACGCAAAAGACGCAAGACCACCAATCAAACAAACCACCAAAAGAACCAGCGGCCAAGAGAAAGGGGAGTGGGCCATCTAGGAAAAATTTGGAGGGCTGGGCTGGGCTGGGCTGGGCCCCCCACCATGCTGACTGCCACATCCAGGCCACTCAAGAAAAACCAGATTGCTGTTGTCCGGACCAGCTGCTACTGCGCACAAGAGCCAAATAAACAGTAAAAGCAGCGGGGGTGGTATGTGGGGGCAGGATAAACACAACTGTGAAATGAATCTAAGTAGTAAACATGGGATGGTAATCAGTAAATAACTTCACAAATAAAGTCTTCAATGACAAAGAGGAATGGAGTCATGAGATGGGAAAGACGTGTGGCACACCCCTAAGAGCACAAGAAGAGCTGCACTGGATCAGTCCAAGGGGTCATCCCATCCCGTCTTCTGCTCACGTACTGGCCAGCCAGGCACAGGAAAGCTACAAGCAGGATATGAGCTCCACAACACCTTCACATCCATGTTCCACAGCAACTGCTGCTCACAGGCACGCTAGAGGTAGCATAGAGCCATCAGGACTGGGGGCTACTGGTCACCTCCTCCTCCAGAAATTTCCCTGGTCCATTTTTAAAGCCACCCAACTGGGTGGCCAGCATTACATCTCAGGGAACTTAAGTCCATAGTTGAGCTGTGAGTTGTGTGAAGAAGTCCTTGCTTTTATTGGAAGGCATCTCCCACCATTCAGCTTCATGGGATGGTGTTATGGGGCAGGCAGAAGACATCTCGCAGGTCACTTTCTGCACATGAAGTATAATTTGCTGCAGTTCTTTCCCGGGGCTGCTGGGAGCTCCAGTTTTGATCAGCCCGGGGAGGCTGGGGAAAGTCAGAAATCCCAGTGGAGAATTCTCAGCACCCTCACTGAACTAAAATTTCCAGGATTCCTCGGAGCAGGAATGAGAACTCAAGGCCTACAACTTTTGTCAGGTCCAGCTAGCAAAGACAGTGGTGAAGGGTCACGGGAGCTGTAGGTCAAACCATTTGGTGTAGGGAAGTGCTTGGGGGTGGGAATCCAGCAGATCCCTTGGGGTGGACTTCTCAGACTCTGGTCCACTTTGTCACAGCTGTGGAGCCACGTTCCTGGTGAACACACTCAGCATTTGTGTGGTGCTCTCCAGGAAACAAGTCCCACGTGACCGCTGCACAGGCGGCATCCCATTTCCACATCACGTGCCGCTGCCTTTGTTTGTGCTGCTGTGCATGAGGTGGGAGAAGATTGCCAGTTGTGTGATCAGGGTTCTGTGGCATTCGCGGAAGACTGGGCCAAGCACAAGAGGAAGCCTGCGAATCCGAGAGGACTGGCTTCCATGAGATGCATCCAAACCCTAATCTGGAGGGGCACAAATGGTCCATCCCTGCTGTAGAGGGCGCTGCACTGGTTCAACTCCTATTAAACCGGTAAGTTTACCATAGGGATCTATCCTCCGAAGGCAGTGCAGTGTCAGCTCCCAGCTCTGGAAGGCCCCTGGGCAAGACATCCTCAATGGGGAGTCTACCTTCTCGCCAGCTTCGTTTGCAGCTCACCATTCCTACCACTTGCTTGTTTGACTGGCTGAAAAATAGCGAGCATGTAAGCAGTGGCGTCCTTCTTATCATCACAACCTGGACCAGAGCACGATGCAGGGAAACATGGTGGGTTGTCCTGAGGAACCTCTGGTCCATGGGCCCCTGCTGAAGCATGTTCCTCAGCCAGTGCCCAACGATGCCTAGCTTGTGACTGCCTTCAAGAACGCAACAGCTACAGCCACCAAACACCATTCATGTCTGAATTTACACAATGGATCGGAGGGATGATTTATTCCTTTCCCAAAGAGGTGAACCCACAAGACCATGGGCTTACAGCCGATTCGCTTTTCACTTCTCTCATACGGTCTCAAACAGAAGAGGTGCCAAATCTGCTTCACGGAGGCAAGAGCATCCTTCTCTCCACCTCACCGAAGTGAGCATCTGTTGCTATAGCACCTCAGTGAGATTTCCTAGACAACCACGGAGGTGCCAAGAGTGGTTTCCACTGGCTGCCCACTCCAGCACATTGCTAAACATTTGTTAACAAAAGTCAACGCCGGGAGGCAGCATCACGGGAGAAGCCCTCGTGATGGTTTCAGGGCCTGAAATGGACAGGGCCAATCCTACAAAGTTCCCCACTAGCTCCCGTGGGATTTAAACCAAGATGCCTCTCTGTTCAGGCTGAGTGTTCCCCTCTCCCACTGACTGAAGTGGGCGATGACAGCCCAATGCTTGCCTCTGAGGAACAACAACAGTAAATAAACAAAAGGAAGAGCCATCACCTCCGCTGCTAAGCTGTTGATGTTCTTGAAGTGCAGTTCTGAGAAAGCATTCATGAAGGAACAGTTTAACACAAGATTGCCCTGGGAGCTGCACACTTCGCAGGCGGAGTGTAGGGCCCAAGGGAATATAGACTCAACCCAGGACCTCCAGCCTGCTCAGAGCTGCAGAATCTTAGGTGCAGGGTCCAAGCCCAGGGCTTCCCAGGCGGCCAGGCTCCCTTCCCCTGGATGTGCCTTCTTTCTGCCAACCACCAGTTTTGTGGTGGGTTTCTGGATTCTATACAGCTTCCCCTCAACCCATGCTAAAAGGTTGACATAGCTTTCCTCAGTCTCGGTTATTGGAAGCGAGTGCTTTAAGCTAAAATAGGCAGCCATTCTTTAACTTTCTTGTCCTCCACCCCTGTCCTGCCCATGCCATGCCCACCACTGGCAAAACAACCTGCATAGTTCCCTTGAGAACATTTCTCAAATAGAATTCAGCCTTTGGGCTGCAAGAGATACGGCAGCCCTGTGATAGAAATGACACCCACTCAGGTGACCTTAATGACAGTAACTTCACCCCTCTTAGAACATCCCAAGATAAAGCTATAAACATGCCAGGTTTAAGATTTTTAGAACTTTGGTCTCAACTTTAATTGAATTATCTCCATGGAGCTAAAAATGACAGATTCATGGAGACTGACACATGCTTAATTAATTAATTAGGCAGCAGGTACCACTGACTACACTGTGCTTTCATACACCCTTGTCTCTCATTGCTAGAAAGCCTTGACTTCCATCATAACAAAGCAGTAGTTTCCCTTCTGTTACCTCCACCCCCTGAGAAATCACAGCAGAAAGTGTGACATTACATTGTACCAGAGAACTTGCACTGACTGTCTGTGCAGCAGGATCAGAGGTACAAAAATCAAGCCCGGAGAAACAAGCTTTGGGAAGCTCCAGGTACAAGACAGCAAAAAGTGCATCAAAGTTCTAGAAGTATGAAGATCAACCCGACCAGAATTCCTCCTTCCAACCTCTAGAAACTGTAGCCAAGACATTGGTATGGTCCAGATTACCCACACTCAAGGGTTGAATATGGGTTGAGTGTGGCTTGTCATTCAAACATGAGTGATGATGATTGAAAGGCAGGTTATTGTGCTGTCCACATCCAGACGGGCTAACAAGCCAAGTTTTAACCATCATTTGTTGTTGGATTAAGAATGGTAGGTTGTTTGTGGCTAACAAACCATGATAGGTTAGTGAGACTAGGTTCAGACAATATAACTCACATTTCAAAAACAGCCCACCCTTGAGTGGTGGTTATTCTGTTATTTGAACTCAGTCATTGACTTGAAGTATTTTTAATTATATAGAGCGTATGCTCCAGCAAACCTAACTCAAACTACTATCAGTCGATGGTGTTCCATCAAAGCAGGGATGGGCGACCTTGCACCAGGGGGCCTAGTATGGCCCATGGGAGATCCCCATCCAGCTGGACAGCTGTGCTGACTTATTTTGGATCCTTGATTGGAGGTAAGATCATCTTCCTGCTTCTCTGCTCGCACCTTATGAAGGCTTTCAGAAAGCCTCCACTAGTGCCTACTTGCAGCAAGGAGGGGCTCTGAAAAGGGCCTGGAACGGTGTTGCTAACCCTTCTCACCCCACTGGTGTGACTCTTAAAAAAAACTAGCCACCAGTACTGCAATCCGGTTGGTCGTCCATCCCCAGTGTGCCATCTGTGAGGTGACCACACCCACAAGCCCTCAGCATGCTTGACTGGAACTACAAATGGTTCCTCCCCACATCCCCCATCCCCATCCCCCATCAGGGCCCAGCCAGCTTCCTATTTCTGCCTCCTGCCTGCCTGAATCCATCAATCCATCCACCTGCCTGCCAGGCTGTGCCAATAAAACAGCTCCGTGTGGCTTGGTGGGAGATGCAGAGGAGGTGAAGACTGGATAAAGACCAGAGCCACCTACCGTGTCACCAGTGCCGGCTTTCTCCATAATAACCGGAGGCCCCAACAACACGTCCGTTGGGGTCATTGGGTCGGGGCTTCCTCCGCCGCCAATCAGGGAAACCACCCCATTGCAGTCCACTGAGCTGTTTCTCTTCCCGTTGAAGGTGTAATTTGGAGAGCTGTAGCTTCCTTGGCTCTGCACGCTCAGTCGTCTCCCGCTCCGTGGAACGAGCAGGGAGCCACGTTGGCTCTCACTTTCCCCGACGGTGCTGATGTCGTCATCAGCAAAATCCGCCTCTGAGCCAACATCCCTGCCCCGCAACCGGAAGCTGAAGACACTCCCATGGCTGGCCTTGCGCTTCACTGAATTCTCCATGGAGCCAGAAGTGAAACCCAGGAGAGTCTGGAAGGAGCCAAAGAGGGTGGGAGAAGAACATAAGGTGTGGGGGCAGAATGAGGGGAAGTTTAGAAGGCATTGGCTTCTACATTTGAAGAGCCTTACATCTTTGGTCATCGTTGAGTCCCACTGGAGAGCAACGGGTCTCAGCTGCAGTGCAGACATCTAGCAAGTCCCACTGAAATGGCCCCAGCCCTTCGGCACATGTTTCTTCTGCTGGATTTTGTTCCTGGGGCTTCCATTTACTGATCCCAATAGCAAATGCATTTTATCAGTCTGTTTCTCAGACAAGAATTCCTTTCCTCCTAGTCTTCTACAGACCTCTAAGCCAAGGGCCAAATCCATCTCTCTGGGAGTTCCCATCCGGCCTTCGAGTTGAGCTACTGATAGTAGGAGCATTAAGCTACAGTATGCTGGCATGCTGGGAGATCTGGTCGCAGCCCTTTGCCATGCCCTCTCTTGACTTCCACCCTGCCCGCCATCAGCATCGTTAATTTTATTTCAATGCCACCCAACAGCCAAAGATATCTGGGCAGTTTATAACACACCAACATTGCCAGCACTGCCAGCTTTTCCAGAATAGACTTTGGTCTTGGGCTGAATTTGGTCGGTGCACCTCTTTTCTAGAGCTTTGACCAATATCCCAGAGTAAAGCTCCTTCCACCCAGAATGGGATACCGCTACTTGAACTACCCATGGTATTTTTACAGCGTAGCCTCTGCTGCTCTGTGTTCCCATCACTGGCCTGTCCACAGGTGTTACTCAACGGGCACTCTCATCTCCCACCTGTCCTCTGCCTTCTTGCGATCACTACAAATGCACGCGCAGAGCCAAGAATTAAAATTAAGCGGCCAGCTTTATCTAGGTATCAAAATTGGTCCTCCATTGAGTACAATGTGCCTGTACCTGGCACATGGGGACCACACTGGGGCGAGGAAGCCCTTCTGTGTCCATCCGCCTGAGATAAAACCTCTGGGCACTGCAGAAGGTTCTGACCCTGATTCTGAAGAGGCGTTTCTGTTTGCTCTGGGAGCAGCGAGGTGTTTGGCCTTATGTGGTCCGAGAGCACGGCCTCAAATCTTCCAGCATTCTTTTGCAGTTGCAGGCCAGCACAGGGCACAATCCTTCTTTGGGGCTCCAGGGAGCAGAGCTTTGACCCCGGAGCAGTTGGCTGTCCCTGCTGAAGCCGACTCATCTGCCAGGATACAGTCCACATGCATCAAGTCTGCATTTGTGCTGTATTTGCACTGCCAAAACAGGCAGGAAGCTGCACCTTTCTCCCAAAACTGCGGGCCCATTTGGCAGAACCCACAAAATGTCTGGCAAGAGGATGGGCAGAGGTCAGGCTCACAGCATCTATTTTGTTTCTTATTAAAATCCTGAAAGCCCCCCATCAAAGCCTGCTGCAAAAGACCAACACTTAGAAGTAAAGAATTCTGAGCTTGGGAAGTCGCTTTGCTTATCAGAACCAAATGGGGCATCTCTCACCCCTTTCAGCGAAACCGTTGAGCCCCAGACACTCTTCTTTTTTGCAATACGCATTGTGTGTGCATGCAGGGACATGCCGGCATTTGCCTGTGCTCTGGTGGGACAACTGGCTGCTGGAAATCCTTGCCAAGCTTCTGCAACTCACCCGGAGACTCTCCAGTAGATCCCAGCCTGCCTGTTGCCTCCCCCACGCTTTTGGAGGGCTTGTGCTTACCAGGTAGGGTCTGGGGCTGCCCGCCCAAAGTGGCAGCAAGAGCAGAGTCCTCCCAGCTGGGGGCCCCATCTCCACCAGAAACCTAGTTTTGCCTTAGGGTATTCTGTAGGCTTTGGGCTGATTAATCAGGCCCCACACAGGTTATATCAGAGAACATGTTTTGGCTACTTTTAAGCCATGTTTTGTGGCTCAAATCAGTACAAGACTGATTTGTATTTGTACAACAGTACAAGACAAGCCACAAATTTTGAGAGAATGTGAGCATGCTATGTTTTGTGGGGTTATTTAACAAGACCAACTGGCCCCATCAGTACAGACTTGTGGATGGCAGAACCTGGGGCACAAAGAAAATTCAAAACGCTGGCATAGCTTCTGTGGAACAACCAAATTTGAGGGCTTGTAGCAAACAGAAAAACAGCTTCCTATGACACCAGCATTACACGAATCAATGTTTGCCAGAGTGCTCTGGCCTCGGTGGTGACACTGAGAGATTTAGAGGTCAAAATGACAACGTGAACCAATCTGATGCGATGATAAAAGGGAGGAAAGACACCAAATACAAGAATGACACAGGAAGAGAAGTGTTTCTCCCTAGTTAGTAACAACACAACCACCTGGTTTCCACACAGTAAGCATTGGGGCTGACTCCATTCCTCGGTGTAATTAGTGGGGATGGGGAAACAGGATGTAACTGCATGAAAATGGCTCAGCCCCCCTTTGCATGAGGTGTTCAGCACCCTTTGGTAAAAGAGACTCGCTGGAGACCCGGCCCTTCTGGTTCCTGTGCTCACTGAGTGGATGACAAATGCACGGATGCAAAATGAAAAGACAACTCATCCTTTGAAGGAACACGCTGAGAAAAGTGTTTCAAGTCCAGCCCACATTTCTTATTTGGCCTGCCAAAACCCATTCAGAGCAAAGCAATTCACTCAGCCATTTTGGCATTAACAATCTTGCAATTAGCAAGGCCACACACTCAATTAAACAAGAATAAAGTCTCAGTGTGAAAGAAAAGAAAAGAAAAGAAAAGAAAAGAAAAGAAAAGAAAAGAAAAGAGCACGTGTAGAAATCCATTCATGTCTCATCGGAAAAAGCAGCCGTTTGGGTGCGTAATTGTGCATGCACATCCAATCGCACAGGTTGGATTTAGATGTAGTCACACTTAGAGTAGACCCATTGAAATCAATGGCCATGAATCAGTCGCAGACCACGTAGGTTCCCTGGATTTCAATGGCTCTAACTCTGGCCCTGACTAAATCTGGATGCAGCTCAATATCAGTTTCTCTCCTTTGCATCCCCTCCCATGTTGACTGTGACTGGCAAGTCTTTCTAACATCACCAATAATTAAGGGTCAGGAGATTTTACACAGACTGCCTCTGTTAATTGGTGAATTTCAAGAGGCTGGTATTTACGCTTAGGCAGGAGAAGGCAGGCACGGTTAAGAGCAGTGCCCTGAACACACGGAGGCAGCTGCAACAGCTCTTTAGCGTAGCATCCTTACGAAGCTCAATGACTATTCAGAAATGTATGGCAGTTCACTTCTCTCCGCTTGCCTTGCACTGAGGTATGAACTGCACGGGTTCCCCTAGCAGGTTACAGCAGAGGACACGCGACCTGGTGCCAGAGCATTGTTTTATCCAGTCTCGGACTTTCACTCCTCAAGTCCTCGAGGAGAGAAAGGTCTTCCTTCCCTTTCCTGATTTCTACGATACTCTTTTGAAGGGCAGGGAATTTCCATTCCAGGCACACGCCCTCCCTCTGGGCAACAGATGAACGGGCGCTCTTGCCTTACAGGTGGCAAACCCATGGGACAGATTGCCAGTCATTTTCCTGTTCAGAGAGCATTGAAAGGACAGGAGCGGGAATACCCAGGTGCAAAAAACATACTGTAGCAGCTTCCCCAATTTGGATTCCTCCAAATGTACCGGATTGCATCTCCCATCAGGCAGAGAGAACCAGACTGAGGAAAGCTGTATTACAGAACAGAAGACCTGTATGGCTCTGAATGTGCAGGGGTTCCCTCCAGGAAAAAAAATTAATAAAGAACAAAAGCTAAAGCAGTGTCCTTTGGCTTATATCCAGTTGTAAACACTCTCCGGTTTATATTTATATTTCCCAGTGATGGGACCCTTCCAGAATAATGCAGAGCTGCTCGCCAGAGGTGTGCACCCATTCATAAATGCACGGACACGTTTGGATTTGAAGGTCGCTTGTCACTGACTTTCAACATTCAACTTTCAACTGAAATTGCATTTGCAATGGCACTGCAGAGACGAAAACCAAAGGGCCACACTGTCGGTCTGTCTATCGTGCCTAAACACGTGTATGGACAGCCACCCATGCAAGATGCAGCGATCTACACAAAGGTGTATGCCATCCCGTCATTGAGGTACAAAAAGGGATGCATGAATCAAGTTAACTGCAGACCAGTCCTTCCAGATGATTCCCCAAACATTACCTCGAGCTTGTAGTTTGCAGGTATCACAGAGAGCACTGCTGTGTTTTCAGATCCAGGGCTCTAATACTGACCCTGGACACTCCTCTTGGCTCAGCCCAGCCACCACGGAGGCCTCCTCCATGGGTGGTTGTGGGAATCGGTACCCTGGAGGCATTCCAGTGGGTAGGAAGGGAATGGCGAACGAAATGAAGAATCCTAAGTCCTCCCAGCTCGGGACCACGTGCCCATCACTACGAAGCATGTATATGTACTCCAGAACCCATCTAAATGTTTGCTTCCCATTGCCAGCAATGGGGTGGAAGAAAATGGATGCAAGTTCATGGATGGAATTAAAATACAGGAGGTCCCATTCTGCTGGCATGAGCTGACAGGACACCAGAGAAACAGAGAGCTCTGATCTTGAAGTGTCCCATCAAGAGCACAGAATTGCTCTCTGAACTTAGCTAATCCAACTGAAGGGATGCATCCTTCTCTATGTGGGGGAAATGCCCATCTTTACCCCAAGAGTTTACTATATAGGCTCATATAGGGGTTTTTCCCGGAATTGCCACTTCAGGCAAAGACTAACCGTCCTATGTGGACCATCTTCTGATTCTGATTTTGGACCCTTCTGGTCGTCTCCATCCTCTTCTGCTCCAACAGATTTCTTCTTTTTTCTTCGGCTTCTTCGCTCTTTGGAATTTTTGGACGACAAAGGTGACATTTCAAAGGAGCTAAGCGACATTGAATCAATTCCTCGAGCTAATGCCTGGAGAATATGAAAATAAAAGAAAGTGAACCAAGCATAAGCACGCTATCTTGAAAATGATATTTGATAGCTGTAGCCATAGAAACTTTCACTGTAGCAGCTACTCCCATTTTTCCTCATTTCATCAAATTTAAATAGAAAATAAAAATGAGATGTCTTCTGCAGGCAAACTGTCTGACAAATTTCATAAAAACCGAATGACTCTTGCTTTGCCGCTAGATGTTTTCAGAGGGGCTCCCACAAGCTTTCTTAGCAGTCCCTTGACGTGGGGTTCATGAAGAACCCACAGTTCTCCTAGGAGAAATCCTAAGAGGAATTTTCACGTGGATGTGGGGGAGAGGGGGAAATACCCTGCCCCCCTGCCTTTTTCCCTTCCATCCCTAGTAGCTCAGTGGGTCCTCTTCTATCACCCCAAGCCAGCGCTGACACCCTCCAGGCCCGAGAGGACTGCTCTGCTCCCTGGTCCCTTCAGGTCCCTGTCAACTTGCCATTGCCTTTAAAATGGCCTCGGAGTTTGCCTCTCCAAAGAACGCAGTGACCTTGTGAGGAACCATGTGCCTTGCTCCTCTGCAGCACGGTGCTTCTGGAAGCTTCCAGGGCTGAAGCCCTGTCTGCAAACCACATGACTGCTCCCCCACACGCCGGCTTTCCTTGCCAACGTATGCACTTATTTATTATTTTCTTCTTCACGCTCATTTACCACTTTCCGCAGAGGTATCCCGGTGGTGAGCATAAAAGGCAATGGCCTCCAAACTACAATAAAAGTAAGAATAAAAACAAGGCATGCCCAGAAAGCAGCGACAGAGGGGCACGCTCTGCTGTTTGCTGAACCTGGAGCTGTCTGGGTCCTGCTCCAGGGAAAGCCCATGTGAAGAGATGTGTTCAAGGAAGACATGGGGCAGAACAATCTATGGCCCCTAGACAGCCCCAAGAAGGCCATAGGGATTTTGGGATTCCCAGATCTGAGGTCAGAACTCTGACCTAGGACCTGGGGATCTGTGATGGATTTACCTCACCATTCTCACAGCCAGCATGGAAAGAACCTCATTGGTTGCTTCTTGAAGTCGTAAGAGTGACTTCAGCAAAGGGGAGAGAATTTTTTTGAGGGAACTGGGGAAGGAGAGGGGTCAGGGCATAATTTATCCTGACAGTTCCTCATCTTCCTTCCTTCAGCCACAGTGCGATGGCTGAAACTGGCAGCCTAGTGGGATGGGAGGACCATGGGGGCAACCTCCTTCTCCACGCTTCTCCTACCCAAAAAAGGATGCCCAGAAACCTCAGGGTTCAGAGGACTACAGGAATGCCCACTGGATTGTGTCCGACATGACAGAACTCTCTAATGTCCATGGGTCAGTTGCTCCAGAGGGTGAGGGCTTCAACTCTCAGTGCTCTCCTGTAAGTGCTCTTGAGGCAAGCCTCCATAAGTGGCACCTGACAAAGGACACACAGGTGAGGCAGTCCTTCAGGTAACTGGGTCCAGAGTTGTTTAGGGCCTTCTAGGCTAACGGCAACATCTCGAACTGGGCCCAGTAGCTTCTTGGCAACTAGTGCAGGTCCCTGAGGAGAGAAGCAGCTCATTGCTGGGAAGAGGGTCCAACCTGCAGCATCGAGGGTCTAGTCTGCAGCCGTTGGCTGCACATTACACGTTCCTGCACTGGGTCTCTGGCATCCGCCACCTCCTGTCCCCATCTGTCCCATGGAGCAAGACAATGTGGAAACATTCGGAGGCGTGTCTGCAGGGACTGCAACCACTGGCAGACCGCCACTGCTTGTAAAGCCACGCTCTTGCCCCATTTTGCTCCAGCATCAAAAATGTCCCTCCAGGGCTGGTGCATGCCCTCAAGAGCTGATGGAGGACTGGACTTAGGAGGCACACGAGAGCGCCTGAGGGGTAGCACTGTTCCCCCCCACCCCCCGGCAAGAAAGCTTGGGCAGATTGCACACAGCAAATAACAAAAGAACTGTTTATTTCCATAGTTTGGAAGTCAAGAGAGGAGGATACAAGCTTTTGCCCAGCTGACTGGAGGGAATTTCAGGACAGTGAAAAGGGAGAACTTCACATAGTTAATCGGCTACAAGATGTAGAGATGGCCACGTATCAGGATGGCTTGAAAAAGGGATTTGTCCAACTAAACGTGGGGGGAGGCTATTAGTGGCCCTGGTCCTGTGGCTTTACGTATCACCTGGATCAGGGCAACATAGGTAGAAGGGGGCTTCTGCATCCATCCATCGTGGGGACTTCCAGCAGGCAGCTGGTTGGCCACTGTGTGAACAGAATGATGGGCTAAGTAGGCCCTGGGTCTCATCCAGCACGGCGCTTCTCATGTTCTTGTGTTCCAGACAGGCTCCACACAGCATGAAATTATATCCATAGTGGAGGCCCCGCAATGGTCTGAACTGGGTGATGCCATGAACTGACGACTCACGCTCAGCAAATCTCTGGCTGAGCCAGAATTTGATTCCTGGGTCCGTCCCTCCTCATATTTCTCAGATGTGAGGACCTGTCACATGCTGGAGAGCCGTGTGCCCGTCCAGATAACATCTAAACAATTGGGCAAAGGCAATGCTCTCTCACGTGAGGTCTCACGCTTTCTGCATAATTTCCCAGAAAAGCAGACCATGTCATTTCTGCTGCATTTCTATAACAGCCTGTGTTATTTCTGCTGATACAGATGTTTATTGTTGTTCTTATTTTGCAGGCAAAGGCTTATCCAACACAGTGATAGAACATGCTGTGACCAAGGTCCAGAGTGATAAACACAAACCGTGGGCTTTGGGAAGGGGGGGCACTACCCACCCACACAAATACAAAGCCAGATAAGACGGACTTTCTGCGCCATATGCCTGGCTGGATATTCTGTGCGTCAGCTATCAAGAGAATCACTGCAGGGAAAGGCAGATAAAACCGAGAGGTGCTAGAAATGGATTTGAAGTCCAACTAAGGGGAGGGGGGAGAAATAATATGGCAGAGCTTGGAAATCACCTCCTTGAGGGATCCAGCAGGCAGCTGGCTTGCCACTTTGTGAACGGAGTGCTGGACTGGACGGGCCGTTTATTGGAGGGCCTGTCCAGGCTTTCCTTATGCTCTGGATCCTGCCCGCAACCTTGGAGAGGGGCTGCCAGCGGAATACCACCTCTGCCCAGCTGGGTGGATCTCACTCAGTATGAAGCAGCCTCCTCTGTCCCTGTGCTGTGCTCTAGGTGCAAATCCTCCCACCTCAGTCTTCCATTTAATTCTGCATAATGGGAAGATCAGCATTGCAGGGGTTTCTCTGACATGACATTTAAAGAGGCTGCACCTCCTGCAACCTGAAGTGGTACTGACCCAGCAGGGCTATACCATGCAATCCAATTTAGATTGCCTCGTAGACCATTTGCACCCTCGGAAAGATGGCCTAACTCTAACCCTTCCCGCCATGCTGAGATTTTGGAACTCCCCACTCCCCACCGCCACAAGAGAGAGCCGATCAAATTCACATACTCTCTCAACAGCTGTCGGCTCTCAAGTGCCACCCGCGCTGCACCAGTGAGGGGCCGTTCGCTCATGCTAATCGGAACTATTGTATGACAAGTTGCGTCTGGCTTTCGGTGGATGAGTTGTTTTACTTGCACAACCGCCACATCGGCGGTGTTTAAACAGCTGACCCCCACGTATTATTCCAGTTGTTGAATAATGGGAGACGAAAGGCTGTTTGAAGTTGGAAGATCAATAAAGCCAATCTGAAAAGAATGCTAATTAACTCGAACTAATGGTGAGGGCTGCAAATATTGAACAGAAAGCCATTAATTTCCCTCTAGTGAGCAAGGGGATATCTTTGAAGATGATGAAAATAATCATAATAAACCAACTGCCGATTTTTAACAGGTGCCCCGCACCCCTCTGCCAATTAACACGTGACATCGCGATGGGCTGCAGAGCTCCTTTGCATGGAGGGCTTTCTTTACAGCTATCGCTGCTGTGAGGGAGGAGGAATGTGCAACGCACCCACATTGTGCGGCATGTGACAACTGTGCACTTTGGGACAAGGCGATTAACACACCACGAGGAGAACTAGACATATGCGCAGTTGCGGGAACATGTTGGTGTAGATGCTACTCTCATGCCTTCTTCTAAGTGGAAGTGATAACCCCTATTGGGACAGCAACACGTGCGAAACACCCTGCAAGTCTAGTGTCAGGCGTTGCTACGGTTAGAACTAGGAATGCGTAAGGACTCTAGTCTGAGGTGGGAATCTGTCCGATTTCTGTCCTGGTTACCTGAAGGAGCGCTTGCATCCATATATGCCCAGCCGCCCCCTGAGATCGGCGGGAGAGGCCCTTCTCCGGGAGCCCTCCGTGAAAGAAATTAGGAGGGTGGGTACTCAGTGGAGAGCTTTCTCAGTGGTGGCGCCCAATCTATGGAATGCGCTCCCCAGAGAGGTCCGCCTGGCGCCGTCGTTATTTGTTCTTCGGCACCAGGCCAAGACCTTTTTATTCAAGCGGCATTTTAACTGTTAATATTATTGGATTTCATCTGGCCAGGGCGGCTTATTTTATACTGTATTTTTGTATTTTTAATTTAATGTTTATAGTTTTGATTTATAATTATTTTAACTTATTGTTGTAAGCCGCCCCGAGGCTTCGGCGAATGGGGCGGCATAAAAATGTTTTAATAAATAAATAATAAATAAATTTCCTCAGCCTGGCTCCATGGACTCGACTTCTTTCTCTGTGCCCAAGTCTACTGAGCATTTGTGCGAACATTCGACAGGAAATGTGTAGCACTCCGATTCCCATATGTGACTTGTGAGCTGTATGCCCTTTGCACAAAGAAGGACGCACTCTGCATATTTTGCACTAAGAGTGCCGTACTTGGTGTACGCGTCTTGTGCAAAGTGCAAATGACACGCTCTGTGTAATTTGCACAAAAAATCCGCTTGATGCCCAAAGGCCACACCACACCACTGACTCTGCAGAGCACAACAGAAGACCCATTTCACAGGTGGGAAAGAGACCCATCTCCTTGTCTGACCAAAAAACTGACAAGGCAATGTAATGCACAAATGCCAAACCACACATTTGGTGCCCCAGAGGCCAACCAAATCCTCAGGTCAGGTCAGGGAAGGAACGTCTCCTTCCTTATATGCCCTTGTGCCCCTTGAGATCTGCAGGAGAGAACCCTCCCTGAAGGAGGTAAAAAGGACTTCTATTCGGAGGAGGGCCTTCTCTGCGGTGGTACCCAGATTATGGAATGCGCTCCCCAGAGAGGTTCGCCTGGCACCGAGCTTATACTCTTTTTGGTGCCGGGTCAAAACCTTTTTATTCAATCATTATTTTAAAAATTAGTATTCTAATGTTTATCAGCTGCTTTTTATTTAATTTATTTTTATTGGTTATATGTTATTTCTTACATTGTTATAGATTGTTTTATTGTATTTTGATTTTAATGATTGTAAGCCGTCCTGAGATGCTATGCATAAGGGACAGCATATAAAAGTTTTTTTTAAAAGTCCACTGATTCCCCCCAAATCACCTCAAAAGTCAATTCATTCTCCCAGATTAAGGGGAAGTTCATGCTCAAGTCACTTTCTCCCAAATTTAGTGACCTGATTTGTCCTGGTTGAATTAATTTTCAGTGCATTCATTTCCCTTCTGTCAACTAACTCGCCCTTCTACTGCCACAAATCTCTCTTTCGTCCTTCCCCACACTACTCACCACCCGAAAGTGCAGAGCTGGCCCAGGCTAAGCAAAGTTCTGGAATCAAATGAGTTCAGATTTCTAAGAATTCAGTCTTCAGATTTCATAGCGGATGGTTTTCCCAGTCATGCAAATTTTGTGGATTTACAGACTTTTTTTTTGCTTTGCTTCCATAATTGTATGCATATGTAGTCACAGAGAAATACAGAAAACAAAACTCACCAACCACAAATGTGGATTTCCCCCGCTTTAGGCTAAAGCACAAAAATATGCATGGGGGGAATCTGTGCATTTGGATGCCCTTTGCATATTTTTGGAAGTGCAAATTTGCACCCATCCATGGGAACACATTCACATAAAATCTGATTCCAACAATGACTGGATGACAAAATGAAGCTGATGGTCCCCAAAAGAGAGTCAGAATGGATTTTCCAACATCCAGACATTCGTCCCCACACTCTGTTTGCTGCTGTTACTTTTCTTTTCATATTTTGTAGCACAGCCTGCCATCCAGAAGGAACTGTGGCTGAATAGTAGTAGAACAGAAGCAATAATATTTAAAGGGTTGGGGCTGAGCATGACCACCAAAACAGACCTCCGTGATCACCGCACTGGGGAAGTCCGCCTGACAGCAGCTCTGTTGAAAGGATTACAGGCAGAGAAATTGTGCAATGGACTTTCAACACTCGAAAGCAACTTAGCAGTAGGAAACGCTGCTCACTGGAATCCTGTTTGCCAGAATGCCTGACTCCATTTCCTGGGAAAGGTTAGAAGCAGGAGGCATGGACTACAAGATGTCTGCCCCTGGCAGGAGCATTTGCATCTGGTTTTGAGCTTGGGGGATGCTGTTGCCGATCGGCAGCAACGCACAAACCTGGGAAGGGCAGAACCGATGATGCAGCTCGGCTCTTAGAAAGAAGGCGAAAGGGGCCAAAACAGCTGAGAGTCTCGTGAGACGTTAAGGGCTAACTGAGGGCCTTCGGGGGAGTTTACAGACCTCTTGTTCTTTCTTCAGGGCCTCCATGGCTTCCCGGAACTTCCTCTCCTTTGCCTCCATTTCAGCAAGGGTGGCTTGGTTCTGCTCTTCATACGCCATGGCCACCACTGCTAAGATCAAGTTGACCAGATAGAAGGAGCCCAGAAAGATGACCAGCATGAAAAAGAGCATGTAGATCTTGCCAGCAGATCTGAGGGTCTAGGCAGACAAAATGTTTGCACTTACTAAAAGGAGAGTTTTCAGGTTGCCCAGTGAGCCAAGATGCTCATTCAGCATGGGGGCCAGCCCCAAAGCAGGGGAAAGTGGCCCCCAGCCCTCCTGAACTTGCCCAGGGCTGCTTAATTGTTCCACTCTCCCAGCCCACCCCTTCCCTTTCCCATATCACACCCCCAGGGCCCTTTCCCTTCCCTTCCCATGCCATGCCCCATGGTGTCTTCACAGACCCCCTGAATCACTGCAGAGGCAATGTGGGGAAGTGGCTTCCCGCAACCCAGCCACCCACAATTCATCAGGGGTTGTTTACCTGCTGGTAGAGGCGCTCCCAGTAATCCTGTGTCATGAGCCGGAACAAGGAGAGAAAGGCCCAGCCAAAAGTGTCGAAGCTCGTGAAGCCGTGGTCGGGGTTTTCACCAGCCCTGAGGCATCGGTAGCCTTTCGGGCACGTACTGCAAAAAGGAAGGGACGGAAAAACAGTAAGGCATAAAGAGGACTGACAAAGGTAAAGCTCATTGCAGCTCAACTCAGAACTGGCACAGCAGTTAGAGGAGAAGGCTTGGAAAAAGCAGGGATGGACCATGACCTTACAGACTGAACCGAACACCAATACCAGGGCTGGCACTTTAAAAAGACTGGCTGCAGCATCTGGAATCCCTGCCTTCTTCCATCCCCAGAGCTGCTTGCTTCTGTTCACGGCATATTAGGTCAGAGCCAATAGGGGGGAAATGGGTGGTATTCAGGGCTTGTTTGTTTTTTAGGGTTCTGAATTGACTTGTTCTGATGGCTGCATCTTATGATGCTCCTTTATTGTTTCCAATATTTTACTCCTTCAGTTTAATTGCTCTCTATTCTACCCTTTTTCCTTCAAGGAACTCAGGGTAGCTGCCCTAATTCTCCTCCTCCTCCCAATCTGGTCCTTAAAACAACCCTGCAAGATAGGCTGGGCTGAGAGCCTGTGACTGGCCCAGCTTCACCCAGTGAGCTCCATGGCTGAGCGGGGACTAGAACCCGGATCACCAGAATTCCAGTCCTGCACTCTTAACCACTGCACCACACTGGCTCTCCAGAGGCATCTGTTTGCTGCCCGAGATCTCTGCAGCCTTGAAAATCATCAGTGAGGCCAACAGCAAAATGTTAGGTCACGGGAAGCAAACTGGGGCAGCCGTTTCAATTCTGTTTCAGGAGGGCCCCTGGAAGGTTCTGCAGGGAATCCAGCACTTACCGAGCAGCATGGAAGCAGCTTCCCGACTTTTCCCTTTTTCCCTTAACAATTTCAAAGCCTGCCTAGAAAGTAGGTTCCAAGCCTATAAAGTCAGAAGACCTAGAAAAGACCCATGCCCTGCCTGCAGCAGCACATGGCAAGAGAAGGTCCGGAGCGGCTGAGCTCCCTGTGGGTCAAGGAGCCACATGGTTATAACTTCTCTTACTGCGGGACCCCTGTGAACGTTGTCCAGGGCTACAGCCAGCAAACAACTGCTGTGGTCAGGATCCTAAAATGCTTGGCTAAAGTCTTCTGTTGGGGAGCGTCCTAGGAAACCTCATCTGAACAGCATGCAAACTGAGGAAGGGGGACGACTCCTGTCCGATTACCAATTTATTTGCTTATATATTGGATCCCGGAACACCAGGCTATTCCATTAACACAAAGCATCTTTCCAGAAGAATGTGCACGGGATCTCACACAATTCCTCACATTAAAAACTATGATGTTACTAAGGACGAGTGCTCCAAGTTGTCCAACCACGGGGTTCAAATAAACAACTTGGGCTGAGACCAGCTGCAGGGTGGACCCTTTCTCAGATCAGCGACAGAGACTAGATCTCCCTGATATTGATAACTTAAGGGGCAAACATGGTTATGACTTGATGGCTTTTTAAGAGTAAGGCAGTTTTTGGAGGGCAGGATCTATTTTGAATACGCTGGACTGACAGGAAGATGAACGGGGGCCTCCAGATCAAGTCAAGCCGGAGCTTTCCCTGGAAGCAAAAATGGCAGTCCTGACACTCTCGTACTTTGGACACATCTGAAGAAGGCAAGACTCCCCGGAGAAGACGAGAATGCTGGGGCAAGTCAAAGGTGGAAGAGGAGGAAGACCAAACTTGAGATGGACTCCATGAAGGAGGCCACTGCCCTGACTGACAAGGGCAGAGCAGGACTGTCAAGATAGGACATTTTGGAGGCAACCCACAAGTCAGAGATGCCTTGATGGCACATCACAGCAACGGGGTCTATCCATGCCCATCAGCCATAAAAGTGTGTGGTGGGACCTCCAGGATGTTCACCTATCTATTTCTGAACACCTGATGCTGGGGAGGGTCTTCCCCTGCTTGTGGGGAGGGTCCCCCTCAGAAAAACCACAGAGGATGCTCTTAGGGTCCAGACAGATATACATGGGGGAGCATTCTGGTCCAGCCAGTCATCGCCAATGGCTCTGGGCTCCAGCTCAGCCCGACCCTTTGCCCAGGATCCACCAAACCTCCACCTCACCCCGCTACCCAACCTGGGACATCAAAGGTTTGAAAAGCCAGCTGACAGCCCCTAATATGAAGTGTGCGCACTCTCGCTTGTTCGCTCACTCTCTCTTGCACCACACACCACATCGTGCAAGGGCTTCAGCAACTAAATATGGAGTGTTTTGCATGCAAAATTATTTTTCCTTTCAAAAATACTGCTACTTTTGCATTATATCTAACAGGTGCCTGAAACTTTTCTGCTTGTTTGTTTGTTTTTATTTAAAAAAAAACCCTTGCTTGTAGGGATTTTCTAATGAAATGCAGCAGCAACGATGGCAACAGAAATAGTTCCCTAAAGAGGCTTTAAAAATAGCCTGGAGATGCATGAGAGAACTTTCTAAGGCCCTGTTCTCTTTCTAAATTACTTGTATTTATAGACTGAGGTGAAACAATGCACTTGCAAACTGACTGAGAAAAATGCCTCATCCTATAGAACATAAAAATTACCTCGGTCGCAATCTATAAATGAAAATTAGGGTCCAAGAGAGGATAAAGCTAATTAAGGTTTCTATAGCAACCATCAGTAGGATGCCTTTGTCAAAGGTGCTTTCTCGTTTCATTTTCAAATCGCCCTGGTGGATTCACTTCTTTCCTTGGTGTTTGCCAGAGCAGTTTCCTTGACCATTTCAACAGGGGCAGAAGGCAAACGTCTGTCAGTGCTGCTAGAAACTGGTTGCATTGTTCTGATTGCCCTGTGTCCTCAGCCCTGGCATGATTCTTGTGCCTTTGATGGTGGCAAGGCAAGCAGAAATTCAACAGGTGAAGCAATGCACATCAGCACACAAGTGTGATGGGAAAGTTCCACATGTTGAATTTCTAACTGCAACTGTTGAAGGTGGGGGGGGGGGGGGGGAGTTGGCAGTAGATGGACAAGCAAAACCAACGGCAACATAAGGGCCAGAACTGTTCCTTTAAAACAAAGAAGAAGATCAAACCCCAACAGGCACAGATGACACAGAGACTTACATGCAAGGGTTTGTATGTTTTCCCCTCAAAGACTAACAGAAGCTGGTGTGTGCTACGGGGTTCCCGAGTGCGAGGCGGCCGACCCACAACGTGCCTCCGGGAACTGCCAGGACATTCACACAATGCCCCCGTGCGATCTGGGGCACTGTGCAAAGCTTGCACGACAGCTTGCACATCCCCACTGGGAGCCACTATTTCAGTTCTGGAGTTACGCTACGTCATGGGCGTGGCAGTGAACGGACGTGGCTGCTGGGCCCACTGTTTATTCTGGAACAAGCACGGGTAGTGGATCCTAACGCAGCGGTGCAAAATGTTCAGCCGAAAGCAGGGCTGCAGCGTGTCCTCAAGGGGGGGGGGGCGTGTTTGCTTTTAAAGGTGTTTCTTGGGGCTACATTCCCAAGAGAGCCAGTGTGGCGTAGTGGTTAAGAGCGTGGGACTGGGACTCAGATTATCTGGGTTCGAGTCCCCGCTCAGCCATGGAGCCAACTGGGTGACTTTGGGCCAGTCACAGACTCTCAGCCCAACCTACCGCACAGGGTTGTTGCTGTGAAGATAAGATTGGGCAGATGAAGACAACGCAATCTACTCTGGGTTCCCCGCAAGAGGGGAAAAGGTGGGATATAAATGCAATGCAATGTAAAAAAACGAAACGAAACTAGAGTCATGACCCAGTTCCACGTCAGAGCCTCTGCAGCTGCTTAAAAAAAAAGAAAATGCCAGATATTTGGGGCCTCTAGTCATGACTCTTCCGTAGAATGTCTAGTTTATGTCTGATGGGTGTTGTACTGCACACAAGAGCTAACGACTGTGACCTCCACCCAAAGGCGCTCAGGTGAGGATCTGTGCGGATCAGACGTGAGCCATTGCTTGTAGAAGCCATGGGTCCCCCGGCCATTTGGGGGACCTTTCTGCTCTTCGGGGAAGGCTCCCTTCTCTGTCCTCACATTGTTTTTGATGGGCATACATCTCAGGGTGTAATCCTGAGCATGTTGAGTCAGAAAAAGGATCTGGCAACTCCTAGCATTCCTCAGCCAGCACAGCTGGCTTGAAATGCCCAAAGCAGGGGGGCTTTTGTCTGCCTAAATATGCAGAGGATGGCACCGCTTTATGGGTCAAGTAGCCATATTGCAGCTCGGATGTCCCCTCGTGTCTTTTAAATCCACCCATAACTTGGGCAAGATGCCATTTATTTCTGTATCGAATGCATTGCTCAGATTTCATTAAAAAGATCCAAGGTGAATGACAGCAAAATTACGAAGACATGCATTTCCATTAAAAAAGATCAAGACATATACTACAACAGTTACATCATCGACACAGATCACAATCTAAGCAATGGACGCATGAAAAGCACATCATACATCTCCAAATGTCTGGAAGTGGAAGAACCTCTTCACTTGGTACTGAAAGAATGGCAGTGCTGGTGCCCCCGAGGAGAGTGTTGCGCAGATGGGGACCACCACTGAAAAGGCCCTCCCCTCTTGCTGCTGTTTTCCACACCTCCCTCAGAGGGGGAATTCCAAGACACACCTCATATGTTCCCCACAAGGTATGAGTAAGTTCACTGTTGACCTGCTTTTCCCCCGTCCTCTCGTCCACTCCTAGCTCACCCAGGGGTGTCTCTGGAAGTTTCTTCCCTGCAGTCAGTGGGACAGCAGTAGGCAAAACAGAGTGGGGGGTGGCGGTGGGGGGGTGGGGGGGAATTGCAACAGAATACTTTTCCTGTCGTCCTGTAAGCACTGTTACAGGACCGCAATGCCCCCATGCACTTCCGCATGCAGACATGCCGGGCCCCAGAACCTCGTTGCTCCAGAGAGAGACGCTACTGGATGTGGGAAGGGATGACAGAAGCGCTACATGGGACAGGGCCCCCGCGGCCCCAAGTGCATCCATTGAACAGGCACATGGGTCCCCAAACCGCTGAACGATGTTCCTGACCATCTCCAGGACAGAATATTCAAACCCTCTAAAGCAGATGCCCTTTAAATATTTTCGGGCAATTTTTGAAAACACCAGCTCATTGCCCTGCTCTTCCATTTCTGAAGGGAGAACACTAGAATGAATCATGGATCATTTTCTCCCTTGCATTTCAGAAGCCTCCCTCCCGTTTCCCTTCCCTCTCCTTTGTTAAAAGGCACTAATCCACAACATGAAATGCATTATCAAGTTTCCAGGAGGAGAAAGGAAAATTAATGGATTGAGAAAGAATGTGCAATAAGCTTCAGAAAGAATGTGGCTTTGAATGAGGGAGACACATTGTCCCTTCTCCCCCACTGTTTGGAAAATTGTATTATCATGCTTGAAAGTTTCACTGTCACTGCGTCTATGATTACTGACCCCCAGAAGGGAAGATTCCCAGCCTTCTGCAGCTAGAGCAGAGCTGAACACCCAGCTGTGAGCTGGATCCGGAGGAAATGAACTGCAATGCAAACTCTGAGGAGCAACTCAGAGTAGACACATGCAGTGTCGTGTTGCACAGTTCCAGTGAAAGCAGTGTGACAAGTTGTAGTCATTATGACTAGGCCTGAGTCCCACTGGTTGCAACGGGAAGTACATTCAACTAACCTAGGGTGTATCCCTATGCATGCTGAGACCAAAAAAAAAAAGGCCTACAATTCCCAGCATGCCCCAGGTGGGTTTTTTCTGAGCTGGGGCATGCTGGGAATTACAAGGCTTTTTTCTGTCTTGGCATACATAGGATCGCAGCGTTTGTTTGGATCTAACCATACATTTGTGTGGGCTGGGAAGGGGTGCAATTAAATAAAATTTTCTGGTGTGATTTGATGTCAGTGCTATTTTAATCCATCATCACATTTCTCTGCCACCCAGGAGCCAACAGCCTCTGAGAAAGAAAAGAAATGTTCTCAAACACGTTCATTTCAGGCTCGCTCTTCCTCCTACCCGAAGTCATGTTTTCCTGTTTCGAAAGCCCCCTTCCAGCGAGGCCCTAGCCGGGCCAATGCAGGGGGTACAGAGCTCTCTCTTACCCCATGAGCATGAAGGCAAGTTTCACAGGGTCTTCCTTATCTCTCCCTGAACGGACTCATACTCACCCAGCGTCCGAGCTGTTGCCGCACAGCAGAGCGTCCGTGGTACCTTCTCTCACATAATAGTTCTCTGCAACAGAAAAACAACTCTGGTCAATGGCTAGTTCTTTCCCTTCACCAAAGATGCTTGCGGGACGAAGCGAGCTCCTTTGACTGGCCCCATTCCTGGGGTGGGGGGGGGGACCATTCCAGCTGCTCTGAGCCCTGAAAGTTTGCACTTCGAAAGAGGGGTTTTGGGTGAAATCTGTCTGCCAATGGGCACCAGTCCTCTCATTATAGGGATGACAGATTAGAAAGAGTGGATTCAGACAGGAGATCACCGGTTCGCTTAGCATATATCTGTTCCGTGTGTCCAAGTATTTTTAACAGTCACTCCCCTGGGAAATGTCATTTGGGGGAGGGTGTTCAGGATCTCGAAAAGAGAATTCCCACCCCCTCACCAAACTATGGTTCTCAAGTACATGCTCTTGTAGCAAAAGCAACAGACAAGCTGTTCTGTGCAGATTCCTTGGGTTTTCGCTAAGAAGCGCCTGCACGCACAGCCCCAGGGAAAACCCAAACAGTGCCTGGATTCCTTTGGGAATACCTCCCCTCAAGGTATTGCCCAGGTGCAATGTGGCAGGTGCAGGATGCACCTGGCTGAGGCAGCCAGAGAGCTGGAGAGGTATCGTTCAGGGACCCCAGCCCAGGCATGGGCTGCATACAGAGCCTGTCTTCAAAGTGACCAGCTTTTCCTGGAAGTTGGAACAGACTTCCTCACCCTGGGACCCTCCAGTTATTTTGGACTTCAGCACCACTCAGCCTTCGCCAGCAAGACCAGCGGTCAGGAAGGATGAGCTGTAGTCCAGGCAACTGGAGGGACATCTGACAGCAGTAGAGGAATGATGTAGCAACTCCAAAATCTCTCTATCCCATGGATTCTTTGGCACAGCTAAAATGCGGACCCTTCAAATTTCACCATCAAACATGTGTAGGCCACAGGGTTTGGAAGAAGACACCAATCTTCCTAGTTAAGGCTGGGGAATTCTGGGAGTTTTCAACCTTTTTTTCTCTCTAAACATGCATAAAGTTGAGCCCTCATGCTTAAAAGTGTTTCAGCTGCCACCACTGCTAAGGCCCTGAAACACGCAGTGAGAGCAAAAGAAAAATAGAAAGGGAAAGAAGGTGGGGGCATAAAGTAGAGGTGAAAGCCACGATACTCTTGCATCCTAAGCCTCTCTTTTAAGCCCAATGCTCTGACGAAAATCTTTCATCTCCGACCAGAGTAATACAAAAAGCCCTTGCCCAGAGTGAATCTCTTTTCCAAGGATGCTGCATTGTGTTTCATAATCGACAAAGAGCGAGTACGTGTATTTATTCTGAAGCATTCTTCTCACCCACCCTTCCAGGGAGGCGCTGGGTGTGATGGTGCTGAGTGGAGCTTAGCTGTCTTGGGATGTGACAAGGCGCCTGTAACGCAGAGCAGCATGACCGCGGCAGGAAGGAATGCACCGTGCGCGGGCGCATGGCAGCCTCAGGACAGATAAAAGATAAAAGGGCAATGCCAGCCATCCTGTTCCCCCACCCTGCCTGGAACGGTTCCACTGAGCCAGAAATCTCCCTGGAGTGACACAAAGGCAGGGACCACCCTTCTGGCGTCTCTGAACGCCTCTGCTGCAGCGTGAGGGGCAGATGGTCCGAAGGGCAGCGCCGTTTCGGTTTGCAGTTGTTCCCCGTGCTATTTTGTACAGAGGAACTTGTCGAAGAGGACAAAGTCTCCCCCCGCACCCACCCACCCACTGCCGTCGTGCAGAATGCTGCCATATTCGTCTGCGGAAGGTGAGGAGAATCCTCTATATGACTGGGAATGTGGCGTTATCCCCCTTCCCAGAGGCTGGGGATGATGGGACTTGTAGACCATCACACCAGGTTGGAGGAAGCTGCTTTAAGCCAAATGTATTTATTGTATCGGCTTCAAAAATCAGGCCGCAAACAGACTCCGGGTACCCCAAGTTCTTCCCCACTTTCTTACTATGAGATTCAAGGCCCGCCTGTTAGCGAGGCACTCTTCAAACTGGGCTTTAAGCAACAGCCATGCTGGGCAGTATTTTATGCACTGTAAAGGGTCAACAGAGCCCAGGCTAACGTCTGTGCTTAAAAGGAGGGCAAGAGAGGGTGGTGTCTGAGAGTGTTTGAGCATGCGGGGACATTTCCAGCAATCACTGCAGGATTTCAGGGAGATGCTCTTTGACTGCCTTCCCCAGTTCTGGCCCGGAGAACGCCTCCTGCCCTTCCAGGTGCATTATCAGGAACAGCTTCCCGCAGAAGGAGAGACATGCATTCCCTCAGGCAGAGAACTTGACCTCCTCTCAAGCAGAGGTGCAAAATCCACCGACACATCTTTCTGAGCACAGGAATAATTCCGCTCCAAAGCTGGGCCTTTCAAACCACTGCGGCACATTAGTCACCGCATTCTGACTGCCTCGTGCAAGACAGAAGATGCCGGGAAGGACACAAAAGCGGTGGAAGAACAGGTGGCCTTGGAGATGGCGGGGCAGTTGGGGTGGGGTGGGGTGGGGTGGGGTGAGGCGGGGTGGGGTGGGGGAGACACCAACAACTACCCTGCGCTGCAAGGCCATCAGGGAGGAAAGAAAATCCAACCCCCCCCCCCGGCAGCGAAGCCATGTCCTTTTTGCCCCTCATCCATCTTCTTCCCATTAGTGACAAGCTCCCCAGATGACCTGAGGAGAGTTGCTCTCCCTCGCTCTCGTCTTGAACCCCATCACTGCCACCACCAAGTTGCAATACGGAGAGAATAATACCCTTGGCCAACCTTTGGGGATTCTTGCATGGCTCACTGAAAGCACGCCTGAATCCCGGAAGAGCCGCCTGCCAATCGGTTTGGGCAACACCAGGCTAAACAGACCACAATTTTGACTTCGACAGGGCATGTACTCCAAGACACCACCACCAGCGGCATGTGTCCTCCAGAAAGATGAAGTCCGTGATTCCATTCTATTTTTTGTTATTAAGACAGCAACGTTTTACATAGCAGGTGGGAGATCGTTTCTGCATGGCATGCTGTAGAAAACAGACAGTGGCTTATGGGTCAAGCACAGGATGAGGCCTTCCAAACCTGAGCTCCTTGGGGCAGCCCGTATTTTTAAAAACCCAGCCTCCCAAAAAGCAATGGCACACGCCAGCTTCTGCCAGCCTATGGAGTCCCTTTTCCTTTCTTCCCAAACAGACTGAATTTTCTTATTGCTATTTATCTCATAAATCGGAGCTGACTCATAACTCTTAAACTGCACTTTATTACTAAGTGTACCCTTAATATCTCCATCAAGACATATTTTTCACTGGCAGCCCCAGTGCATAAGCTGCTTTCCTAGAAACCTTAATGCCCACCCACACATGAACGCTGCCCCGATATGTGTCAAGGTGCATTTCTGTTTTCTGTTCTCTCCTGATCAGCACAGAATTGCACTAGTCTCCTTTGCTTGCCAAAGGTAATTATAAATATATAAAATTCATCCATTGCAGGTTGCCTGTAAGGATGTCTCTGGTCAAAATTCAGTTCAGGGAATAATATACTGGAAGCATAATGCTGATAACATGATATGATCACTTGAATTCTTCTGACATACCTTAACAGAAGGCTGTTGAGCCTCAGACCAGCAGGTGTCCATGGCTGGACATGCCCCATTTCCCTGAGCACAATCCCTTCCCTGCCACAACTCTTTCCCCCCTGATTATTTGGTGGTCTAGCAGATTTTTCGCATCGTAAAAGATTGGATTACCTTTCCTAAGGCTCAATTACTGCACTTGGCAGGTTGTATTTTGGCACTGCCCTTTTGGCCCTTTCCCCCCTGGGTCCACTGGATTCCAGCCCCTGAGAGCATCTCTGATATTGGAGTCAGACCACTGGCTGAAAGAGGGTCAATATCCATGTTCTAAAACAAGTTCCACCTTTCCAACCCACTCCTTATACTCTCTAAAACACCCCATTTATCAGGCAGGGTGGACCAAACCTCTGATAAATTGCATTCCCTCCAAAACCTGACAGAACCTGCAGAAAACACCCACCCACCAGCCACTACCACGCTCGCAAGCATCCAGCTGCACCACCAGGAACCTTCCCCGTCAAGAGTCGCTGCAGGATGCGGAGGAGGGACGTGGCGGGTCGGTGCGGCAGGCACCCTCCCCGGTGGCCAACCGTCTTGTTCACCAGCTGCACCGCATCAAGTAAGGCTGAAGCGATGCGGAAGCTTCTCGTTCAGGAACTGGAGTGATTTCATTCCCCCTCAGCTCATAAGGAGCAACCAACACCACTCGGGTGCTCTGGTCCTAAAGATGGATTCCTGGTTCAGAGTGGACCCCCTGAAGAAGGAACCACTGAGGAGGCTGGCTAGAGACCCTGTTGAACGAGTGAGCAGCATATAAAATAAATAAATAAATAAATAAATAAATAAATAAATAAATAAATAAATAAATGCTTCCTTCTAATCCCCTCATTTGGGATAGGCACAATCAACCTGATTGGATGTCCCTAGTTTCTCTCTTGTCCCTTTAATTCCCAGGGTTAGATTTGGGATGTTCCTTCTCCACTCACAGAAGGTTCCTCCACTTGTTTGGGGGAATCCTCTCTCTCTCTCTCTCTCTCTCTCTCTCTCTCTCTCTCTCTCTCTCTCTCTCTCTCTCTCACACACACACACACACACACACACACACACACACACACACCGTTTGCCCCATTCAGCAAAGTTTCCTGATTCTCTGTGTAGCATTTTGGGGGTCTAGAGGGGCTGCCCTGGGAAAGAGAGGGTGAGGAAGCCCATTCCTATCCATCCTGATCCAGCAGAAATCTGGACCCAATCCCTCAATGGTCCCCCGTGTCTCCTTGGGTCACGCTCCTTATATTCTGGCTCCACCACCAGCTGAATCAGCCCCATAGCATGTCCATCCTAATCCATTCCCTTTTCTGGGGTTGCAGTCCTCTCCAGGGTGCGTGGCCACCTTTTCCCGTTGCCTTGAAATCCCAGTGGAGAAGCCCCTTCCTAATGAACAATGACAGTCTTTTACTTAATCCAGTCCTCGTTTGATCGAATGCAGTGCCCCTAATCCTCACTTTATCTGCGTTCGCAGCATCAATCTTCGAGCAATTGAAATGGGGAATCTTATTATGTAGCGTGATCAATAGTCCTCAAACAATGTTAAGCCATTCATCTCTGCATAATGCTTACAAAATGATTGATTTCCCAGTGGTGCCACTCATATCTGGCGCTGGCAGTCTTTCAGGCACAGAAGTCCACAATCTTGCAATGAGAAGGCACAAACATTTCAGGGGAAATCGGGAATAAGCAGCCTGTAGCCCAAGCTCTGCTTCCATGGCAGAGTGCAGTTCCTCTGGCCATGTGCAGAGTGGCTCTGTGCCCATTCGCTTTCCTGGCTTTCTTTCTCCTCTCCTCCTATTTCAGAGGTGCAAACAGAAGCGTGCTCCTATCACCTGAACTCTTGAGCCGAATCTGTGACGCCTCGTCCTGCTTTGCTGGCTACCGCGCTCACTCACCCTCTGCGCAGGGTGCCGAACCTCAGGCCCAGGGCGACACGCGGCCTTCCAGAGCTCCCTACATGGCCAAGCCACACCACTGCCGCTCGGCCCCGAGGATTCTGACAGCCTTCTCCAACCCCACTCTCTGAATGCGTCTGGCTTCAGCTCCCGCTCTCCCCAGGCTACATGGCCACTGGCCTCAGGGGCAGTGAGCCTGATGGGAGTTGTAGTATGCCACAACTAAGTGCTCCTTTGGGGAAGGCGTCCTCCTCCACACGAGTCTCCAATCTTTTCAAAGAACCAGTGTGCAGCCTCCGAAACGAAGACAGCTGGCCGGCAGAGACCACGCAGTCCAGCTTCTGCATCATTGACAGTGACACAACTGGCAGAAATGCATCACGCACTTTTCTCCAGGTGTGCCTGGAAAGGTGCCGCTGCAGAATTTGGGCCTGACGAGCAGCTGGGTGCCGGGTGCTTGTGGCGATCCCACTAAATGTATACACCGAAGAAACAGGGCAGAGACGAGAGGGGATCTTTGCAGGCGCCATTCAACTGATGCTGTGCTGCCTGAATCTAGGCCTGCACTGATGCAGTGAACTGGCTGAGGAGGATGGGTTTTGTAGCAAAAAGGTGCCCAGAGGGGAGGATGTGGTCTCATGCTTTAGTCTGTAGCAGCACCCCACTTATAGAATATGCCCCCCGAGGGGTGCCTGGTGGCGTTGCTGCTTTCCTTCCGGCACAGGTAAAGACTTTCCCATGGAACAGGTGCTTTAGTGGCTGAACTGGTTTTAACATTGCTTAAACATTATTGCTGTGTGCCTTGTGACTTTTTCACTTAATTGCCGGATCTGCGCTGTTTTAACAGTTTTTATTCTTTTAATTGCCATTTAATTGTTCCTTTTATTCTTTTTAATTGTTCTTCTTACTGTTTTTATTGTAAGCCTCCCAGAAACTCAACACCATTTAAACTCAGTAAAACATCGCTTCCCAACCGAACAGCCTTCAGTTGTGTTAGACAACAATGCCCATAATCCCCAACCATCATTCCATTTGGGCTAGTGATGATGAGACTTGGAGCCATGGTGCCGGAGGTCAGACTAGATGGCCCGGGAGATCCCTTCTGACTCGCTCTGTTTCTATGTTTTTTCTGTCTAAACATAAACATACATAGGATCAGTGCTTTTTTTGTCAAGTTCCGGCACCTTTTTTCGACAGATTTTCCAAGTTTTAAAAATAACTTTTGAAAATTTGATGTTTGGTCCATGTGGATTTGAATCGCCCTGTTGAGCGTAGCAGGTCAGCAGCAAAATCATTACAACGGTGCATGCGGGCTGCTGGTGTGTCGAATCCGATGCATCCGTACTTTGTCCGCGCTGGTTGTGATGATGCTGCTCGGCTTGTGATTGGTCGTGTGGTTGCGCGCTGAGTGCTTACTGTGGGCGGCGACCGTTATGTTTCGTTACACAACTGATGTGTGTGGGTGTGCGTACAGTGATTGACTATGTGCGAAAGGTAAATAATTTCATGAGTTCCGGCACCTGTTTTCTTACAAAAAAAAGCACTGCATAGGATTGTCCCCTTGGAGGATCAGATACAATCCTGCTGACCCTTTTCTGTCCTTGCTAAGCTGCCGTTCTCTTAATACCTCGGAGGACTACAGAGGATGTGGCACCCCAACATTTTGGCACGGCAACTGAGAAGCAAGCAAATAGTTGCTGAAGGTGCCAGTCAGACTTTTATATTTTAATGTGCAAGTCTCAAGTTCTCTAGGCACAGACCCTGGGCCTCTTTGGGTTGTTGAACTGTGAATTTTAAAATCTCCATGTACTGGGGTGCAGATCCTCTTTTATTCTCAGGGCTTAATTCCATTTTTGGGAAATTCTGGGGGGCTGGATTCTAGAGACAGGCATGGCTGACCAACATGTACCCATCCATACCAGGGCATTTTAGCTTTAAACTCCAGTTGCCAATACCAAAGTGGCATTTCTCCCTTTCAAGATGGGAAAAAAGCTACACAAAAGCTGGGAAACCATCGAATGATTGTTAGCCAGTGCAAGGAGAAGCAGAGCAAGGGAAGGAGCGTGGCCATTTTTGAATCCTGGAGGCCCAGCCCGAGCTCCCGGGCAAGCCAGATTTGTCTTGCAGGCCAGACAGATTTGTTGTGCATCTCACTATAAACCCACAAGTTACGGCACTTCAGGTGGCTGGGCCAGCAAAGAGCAGGAAAGGGGTCCGTTTACCTGGATCATTCAGAAAATCATCGAAGGATTGCCAGGTCTTCTGGTCCGACGCAAACGTGCCGTTGGTGGAGTTATATTCCTCGAAGTTGAGGATGCACTTGTGCCGCAGGTTCCCCATAAAGAGTTGCAGCCCTATGAGGGCAAAAACACTCAAGCAAAACACGGTTAGGATCATCACATCCGCGAGTTTCTTAACGGACTGGATGAGGGCGCCTACGATAGTCTTCAGTCCTAAGGAGAGAAAGATAGACATCCTTTCAGGCCGAAATCTGATGGAACAGGAGCGTCAAATGCATCCATGCTGCAGGTACAGTCCAGTGGAGACCGAATCTCCAAGGCATCTGCCCAAAATATTTCCTAATATTTTTTTTTTATTTATAGCCTACCCTTTTTCTACAAAGGGTTCAAGGCAGCTTACATCATTCTCCTCCTCCATCTTATCCCCACAACCACAACCCTGTGAGGTAGGTTGGGCTGAGAGTCTGTGACTGGCCCAAAGTCACCCAGTGGGCCCCATGGCCGAGCGGGGACTAGAACCCAGATCCTCTGAGTCCCAGTCCCATGCTCTTAACCACTACGCCACACTGGCTCTCTAATTGTGATTGCATGGCAAAGGTAGTGTTCCCATTGAATTTCATCTATAGTGAAATTTGGAGAGAATTTCAAGAGGCCAGCTCAGGCCAAACATCTGAAGGAAACTCCAATGGAAATGTAAATTATTTCAGTAAGCCAAGCATTTTTTTCCCACATGCCCAGACAAAGCAAAAAGTATCCTTCCATTCTGATTTCTTAATTTCTTCCTATTTAGACACATTCTGTTCCCTAATTAATGTGATTCAGCTCCATTAATATCACTAGGACATTTGTCTTTGATCCTTGGAAGTCTGGCATGCACCAACTATAATTTATATTTTCACATTAATGAAGAATTAAAGTCCCAGCCCTCAAGCACTTGGGAATAAATAGAAGACTTTGAGAATCAGAGCCAAAAGAAAGTAAAACTTCCTCAAATTCGAGTGAGATGGATCTCTGTTTGTAATCGATGCTTGCCAATATAGTGTGCATATTTAAAAAATATTTTTTGCAATACAAAGTGTTTTAAAAAAAGGATCTGTCATGCAAATCGGCTCCCAGGAGTTGCCTGGAAGTATATGGGGGGGGGTGAGCTGCAGGGTGGGGGTGCTTTTTGGTGAGACGATCACTAACCACAACCTGCCCTGAATGCAGGCTCGCCTACCACCAAACTGGATGCATGAAGCAGCTGCAGGTAATTTATTCATCCACCCCAGCATCGCTTGCTCTGACCAGGAGCCCTCCAAAGCCTAGCAACAGATGAGCAATAATCTCTCCCGTCACCTGCTGCCTGAGTTCTGTTTGGGCTGTAGATGTTCCAGAATGAAAGCAGAACCTTCGCCAGGCAAAGTACGGCTCCAGCATTAAGCCAGGAAGAAGGTGGGCATGGCTGGGAACTTGCCAGGGGCCCACACCCCCAGCAGGGGCCCCATTGCCAAGGACACTCTGGGTTTGCGCCTCTTCTTCCCCATCCCAACCTAACTATTCAACGGTGGTGTGGAAGAGGAGGAGGAGGAGGAGGAGGAGGAGGAGATGCTGTGGCTGATTGCTCCCTGGCTGTCCACATCCAGCAAGTCAATGGAAGAAAAGACAAGAAAGAGGAAGAGAGACCAGAGCAGCAGAGAAGATGGAAGGGGGGGCATTTAGCTAGTACCATGAGGGGTTCCACAAATGCAGCCTGCTGGGGTAGCAACAAAGTCACTGCAATGCAACACCAAAACTTGTATGAATTTCCTGTGCTTCTGCTTCTATTAATGGTGCATTTAGTTGTCTTTTAACTCGCTATATTTATTTTAAATGGCTGGTATGATGTTGTTTTATTATGTTTTTAAATGATGTTTTTAACTGCTTTTAAGAACTGTGTTCTGATTACTGTTATAAGCTGCCCAGAGATCCCTTTTGGGATAATTGGTGGCATACAAGTACAATAAATGAATGAATGAACGAATATTTAGCGCTTTCCCAAAGGCCCACAAAAACCATGTTCTCCTCTGCAGGGAAAGCACAGGGTACGTTTAAGCAAGCATCTGCCATTCACAGGGAGTGGCAGCGAGGGGGCACCAGTTACACGGCACACCCCAGGCCAGCCTTCCCCAACCTGGAGCCCTCCAGCTATTTTAGCCTTCAGCTCCTATCAGATCCAGCCAGTGTGGCCAACGATCAGGAATGCTGGGAGCTGTAGTCCAAGACTTTTGTGGGGGACACAGATCATTGCCCAGGTTCTGAGACAGATTACATGGAAAAGATGGCACAGCCAAGATGCGTGCGTTTCTCAGCAGACAAACAGGCGCGGAAAAGCTCCTGCCAAGGCAGAAAGCTTGGAAGCCTTGGCCCTCAGGGAACGATTCCATGGAGGCTCCCAGCATAAAAGGCTGGAAGATCAGCTTTATAATGATTTCATTTAAGCCAAGCAGGAGCAGACAGCCAGAAAGTCCATCAATTAGAAATCCATTTGGATACTGTTTCTCAAGCCATGTCCAAACCGGAACTCCTTCTGCAGTCTGCGAAATGCTGGCTCGACTCGGTCACTTGGCTTTCGTTGTTCCTGGATTACAGCACTCCTTTTCCTTCCTTGGGGGACTGTGGGCTCAGGATTCCTCCCCAAGCACAAGGGGACCAGCAGCACCTAAAGCCTGGACAGATCTGCACGGGGTATCAAGCCATGGAGGTGGAGCAAGGGCCCATGGGAAACGTGCCTCCTAGCCATCTCCCAAAAGCAGAAAGAAAGGGCTCAGATTTTGGCAGGTCTGGTGGGTGATATTGGCGTCCATGTGTTATTTCAAAATTTATTAATCCCATTTTTATTAAAAAGTATTCAAGGCAACATTCCCTTTCTGAATAGCCTCCGGCAGTGAAGGAGCAAAGTAACACAGATAAAGGGACAATCCTGGGCATGTTTAGACAGAAAAAAGGCCTACAACTACCAGCATGCAGCCCTCTTTAGATGGGGACACGTGGCTACCCTACTTCATATCCACTCCTCTCCTCCTGGTTTTGCTTCTCCCCACCCCGCAGGGTTGTTGTGAAGTGGAAGGTGTGGCGAAAACCATGCCCACTGCCCTGAGCTCTTTTGGAGGAAGGGGAGAGCCACAGAATAAATATGCATGTACGACTTTACAATAATTATTTTGCTTCCTTCCTGGTTGGGTCCGGGTGTCAGAAGAGACATGTTGGGCATCATACCCGCCTTCCCCGTCCCAGCAACGGGACCTGCCGGATACCACCAGGAGGCAGGCGGTGTGTCAATCGCAGTATTGCTTTCATCTTCATATTAATATGTCAGATCTCTTATCGAAGGCTGCACAGAATAATCGCAGCCCTGTATCCTGCAGGCCAGGCAGCTTTTTAATCAGCTGGGGATTAAAGGACCATCGCATCCTTACAAAAGCGAGTAGAAATCAAAAAGTCAGTGCAAGGGCCCAGTAAGCAGATTTTTTACCCTTTTAAAATCCTTGTCCAAAATGGTGGCTTGCCTGGACTAGATTTCTGGGAGCCATGCCCCCAACAATGCTAATTTTTAAGGTCAATTTTGAAAGTGCGTTCTCTTCATCCAGTTATTACAGTTTTAAATAGAAAGATAATCCCTTCAGTGGTCCCCCCCCCATATTTAATCTTCTCAGGCATCAGAACATTTCCTTTTGATACTCACCCCCCCCCCCAGAATTTACAACATGTGATTTTAAACCTATGGCCAGGCATCTGCAATTGAACATAACCCATCATCCAGGGACAGTGGTCCCCTGGGAAGGCAAAAAAGCTGGGACTACAAATGAGGAGGGGGTGCCCTGTGGACCATGATGCATAGCTGACCAGCTCATTCGATCTCGTGGGTCCAGAATCCTCACGTGCAACGATCTGTCTCGTTTAGTGAGAAAGGTCCCTAGTAATACCATCTGCCGATTGCTAAAGAGAACATGGACTGATCGTTATTGCTGATTAAAGTATCGTTTCCGCAACAGAGCCTTCCCCACGCTGGTGGCCTCCAGGGGTGTTGGATGCCGACTCCCAGCATGTCCCAGCCGCTGATTAACATCAGTTCCTTTAAAATGGATCTGCCTGGCTCCTAACTGGCCAGTTCTTTGCCAGCTGCTCTGCACTGGTTTCCAGTCCAGCCCATTTCTGAGCCAAATCCCAAGTGCTGGTATGAAAATCCCTCACTGAGAGAGGAAGCCTTCCCAGTTGTGGCACCATTCGTGCGTTGCCATCCTTAAGCAAGCTCACCTGGCACCTACACTGTTTTCTGGAACCAGGTGAACACTTGTCCCAGGCATGGTATGTGTTAATTTTGTTTGTAATTATTTTGTAACAAAATAATTTTGTTATTTATAGAATATAAATATTAGTATATGGGCTACTAGGGTGGTATACAAATGCAAATAATAAATATCTTTGCACAATTTGTTGTTTCTTGGTGTTAACGTCTGTTCTCAGGTTGGAATAAATATAATAAACAAAAACATACATGAATAAAGGGCATAATCCTATACAGGTCTAGACAGCAAGCCCCGGCATTTCCTAGCCAGAAAGCGGAGAGCTTTAGGACTTCCTCTATTTCAATATGCATAGCACTGCACTCCAGGTCTATCCGATCCACTCTTGCACTCTTGGTGCCAAGGGAGTCTTTCCTTGAAATGCAGCTCTGGTGTGGATCTTTGTTTTACTGTCAGGTCTGCCTGAGGGAGAACACAAGGAAAGCATCCCCTCCCAACTCCTGCAGTTCTGAGACTCCTCAAACTCTACCAGGGTTGCTATTTACATAACAAACCAGGTGCATATTAATTGCAGCCATGCAATTAACATCATATCAACTTCGGGAGGTTTACCGAATCCCTGGCAGGCCTCCATACAAGACTGCTGAGCCGGGTTCAACAGCTTGGTGGATGATAAATTGACTAGGCCTTGCCTGTACAAATGCTAGTACTCGGATATGGTTCCATGACCTATAATGCAATCACGCTGGCAAACAGCAGTTCAAAGCAGAGCTCTTGACATTCATCCTGAGACATGCACAATACTCAAGAGGAGAGCTACTGGTCAAGAGAGGACTGGCCCATTCCATTTGGCCCAAGAAGTAACACTCACACTAGCTGTCAAACACACGAGGATGTTAGCAGAAGTTAGTCCCACAAGACACAACTCTTCTGGGAAGTCCGCCTGCCCAAGTTTCATTGAAATAAATGGGAGCTGTTTGGTTTACCATCTGCTCTTTTAGCTCAGCATTTGGTACGTGCAGGTCAACTTCTGGATGGATTGTGCCTCTAATCTGTACCCTCAGCAAATAAGAGGCCCCTTTTTATTTAAAAAAAAAAGGATTGGAAAACAGGAAGCAACACCTGGCTCTGGAAAACTGCGAGCAGGCTCTCCACCGGTAATCCTATGAGAATCGCATGCATTGCGCTATAGCTCTTCGTGGCACCCCTGCCAGATGCTGGCAATCAGCAACATGAACACTTTTCTCCCTCTTAGTACAGCAGAGTAAATTATGATTAGCACACCTTGGTTGTTTGCACCTGGCCTAGTCTCGGTTCCTTAAAACGGCCTTTTTTAAACTGAGTGGTGTCTTCCTCAATCAGGAGAGCACATGCATGTGACATTTACGCATAAGTAGCTTTTATTGTCAAGAGAACCGCATCGGTCAGAGGGAGGTATTTATGAACCCACCCTTCCCCGCTGTGTCTCATTTTTCCTACATTAAGGACATTCCATCTCATTCCTGCACCAGTTTCCAATTTTTTAAAACTTTGCATGAGCATTTGTGCATGTTTTATGCAGGTTCCCCCAAATACGTGCATTTTTCAAATCATAGGCACCTTTGCAGGCAACTTCCCCTGTGATAAAGTATTCTTCTGTGCACTTTGTAGAATATGCATTTTTCACTCATGGCTTTATATACCTATATGCATTTGCCCTCCCCCCCCCTTGAGATCAGTAATGAATGCCCTCCTCCGGGAACCCTCCGGGAATGATATTAGGAGGGTGAGTACCCGGAGGAGGGCCTTCTCTGCGGTGGCGCCCCACCTATGGAATGCGCTCCCCAGAGAGGTC